GAAGCTTGACTGCTGGCAGAGCCTCCCAAGGAAGGGAGGAGGGAGGGCAGAGGCTGCAGCGGCTCCAGACCCCTCCCAGCCAACAAGGAGCCAGGCTGGGAGGGACGACAGGCACAGGGAAGCTTGGGGCTGACTCCTGTTAGCTGGGCTGCGCTGCAGAGTGGCTTCCCTGTAATGCAGCCCACACCACATCCCTCCTGCTCACGAGCCTTCTGTGGCCCCCGTTGCCTCTCAAGCCTGACCCTGAGCCTGAACCCTGAGGTTCCTGCTCGCCCCTCCAGCCTCATCTCCCACTGCTCCCCTATCCACACCCCCACCGAACTGCACAACCTCTCCAGACACCCCTCAGGCGGGCCCCTGTCCTGCCTTGCAAGCCACCTCCGCCTGCCCACGCCTTCAAGCGTTTCCTAGAAGCCTCTTGAATCCCCCTACACCCCAGCGCTGGCACGCACCCATCCTTCACTGGGCTGTCCTTCACCCATCCCTGGGCACACTTGGCCCTGAGCCATCTTCTAGCCCCTACCATCCTCTGCCTGTTTGGGGGACATCTGGGTGCCTGACGAATCTTCCCCTCTAGACTGAGAGCTCCGTGGGGCCAGGGCTGTTCTGAGTCCCCTCCCAAACTCCCCGTAGCCAAGTAGAGCCGGGCATGGAGACAGTGCCCAGGGATGCTGTCAGACAGGCGGGTGCATGGGCAGACGGACAGACAGACAGGCAGGTGGGTGGATGGGTCCCATGGTGGTGGCTTATCTCTTTGTGGGTGTGATTGCCACTCCTAGGCAGATAGCCTCCCCTGGCCCTCACCTCCAGGGCAGCCTGGAGTATATACATCAAGGCCACATCCTCCTCCGCCCCATCGGCCATGTGAGAGGAGTGGCCTGAGGTCAGGGAGGCGCAGAGACAAGCCCAGGATCACACAGCACGCTGGGCCCCCTTGAGCCAAGATTCTGAGCCCTGCTACCTGCACCCAGTCCAAAGGCCCTCCTCCCACTGGCCCTGGGTCTGGTCCCTTTGACACGGGCCCCGGGTCATGCCTGGGGCCTAGCAGGCCCAGCACAGTCCTGCTCCACCCCTGCCTATCCCGCCCGCCCCTCACTGCAGCACAAACTAGCCATTCTTGGCCAGACAAAGGCCGGCTGGGGCAGAGCGTCTCTGGTGTCTCCCGGGAGGGTGTCTGGCCTCTGATGGACGTCGGTGATGGGTTCTGGTGGCCAGAGCTCTGCTCCTGAAGGCTGCAAATCAGATTAAGCCAGTCCAACCCCAGCCCAGACGGCCCCACATGGAGCCTTCAGGAAGAGGTGCAGCTGCCAGGCCTAGGCCTGGCACCCTCCTGGTGTGCACAAGCCCTGGCCCCAAGGCCGAGAGATAGCCCTCCAGCCCGACTTGCTATGGGGTCAAGGGCATGCCTCCTCTCCTCTCTGGACCCCCACGTCCAACCTGCAAGACCGACGGCAGTCTGAGTGAGACCTTTTGAGGCCTTCTTGAGGTGGTGTTTGGAAATGCTCCCAGTGCAAGCTTGCACTCAGCATATGGTCACTGAGAGCTCCCATGGCATCAACCCCTGCCACCTGCCACAGACCTGGTGTCAGCTCAGCGCTCCGTGGGCAGCCCTGCCAGGCCTCCTTACCCTCAGACCCATGGTCCTGGGGGCTGGGTGCTCTCCTCTGAGCCTCTGTATGTCTGTATATCCACATCTATCCATCCACCCACCCTCCCCATCTGTCCATCCATCCATCCATCCATCCATCCATCCATCATCCATCCATCCATCCATCCATCCATCATCCATCCATCCACCATCCATCCATCCATCCATCCATCATCCATCCATCTATCCATCCATCTTCACTCCACCTGTCCATCCATCCCTCATCCACTCTTTCTTTCCATCCATCATTTGTCCATCCATTTATCCATCCACTCCATCTGTCCATCCGTCCATTTCCTTACTCACCTGCTCAGTGTTACTAAGCACCTGCTTTATGCCAGGCCCTGACACAGAGCAGGGCGTGGCCCCTGCCGTCATCTCACGGAGCCCCAGGATTATTGGGGAGGCAGGCAGGAAAACAGGCAGTTGAAATCTCATGTGGTCAGTACCAGGATGGAGGGTACCATAGGGGTTGTGGAGAAGTTCTTAAAAGCGGTAGCACTTGGCTGGCCTTGAAGGGTGACACCTAAACCTTACCCAGCCACCCAGGCAAGTTGGCCTGGCCACTCTGACCACACCAGGCCAGGCCACTAGTGCTTTACTCCTGTAGAGAATACCTACTCCCAGGGTGGGCAGGGCAGACGCCAGCCATATCCCTGTTACGGAGTCAAGCAGAATCTTGAGACCCACAGAGAGAAGGGAACTGGCCCAAGACCACACAGAGCGGGCTGAGGGTGAGGGGTTCTGAGCAGAGCAGGCGGGCAGACAGGGCTGGGATGGGGGCTCTATTCACAGCTGCTGGCTGTCTGTTCTTCTCATGGGGGGCAGTGCCCCCCCAGCTGCAGTAATGAGAGTCAGCTGCTGCCGTCTGCTGTGCAGCCCCTCCTGCCACAGAGCCTCTAAGCTAACCCCTCTCCATTTCCTCCCCTCCTTCCAGCAGGGCCTCTTGGTCCAGAAGCTTCTGGGCTGCAGCCCTTCATGGGCCACCATGGCCATTCCACTCACTGTGCCCACAGGCACCCTGGCACCCGGGAGGCTCCCAGCCTGCCAGTTCTCCTCCGATGCCCTCACAGCAGCCTCAAGGGCAGGGATTCCCCTGTCTGCCCAGCTCCACCTTCCTGCTACCACATTACAGTGGAGCTGGGGACAGTGCCTTCCCTCCCCCGGCTCAGCTGCTGGGTGGAAGAAGGTTGTTCCCGGGACGCTGCGCAGAGCTGCCTCGGATGACTTCCTGCGAGTTAATGGCTCACCCATTATGTGCTTGGATCTTCCCAGAAAAGAGACAACCCAGGTGAGGCCAGCCCCGAGGCACCAGGAGCCCATGGAGAGGGGCTTCCTGAACCCCGTGGGACTGACTCCAGCTGCTGAGGCTCCAGGCTGAGCTCCGACGGGGCACTACACCACCTCTGAGCCTGACCTCCCGCGGGCCTCGTTGGTCACGTAGGCCCCCTTTCCTCGGTCACCTGTCCACCCAAATGGGCAGATCTCAAGACATTCCGCTACCTGGCTGCCAGGGTGCTGGTGGAGGGGCTGTGCTGAGTGGAGGTCAACTGTCTAGGAGATGCACAGACCCATGACCCTGGCTGAGAGGATTGGCAGCCTGCTTCTCTGACCCATTGCCCATGAGCACTTTACAAAATGGATGGTGTGTCATCCTTGGGGAAGACGAGGCTCAGGGGAGGAACGTCCCAGGTCCAAGGTCTTAACGCTGAGAAGTGGCCCCTCTGGGGTTGGAAGGCAAGTAGTTTGGCTCCAGAGGCCCCTAGACCGTGGGCTGTGTCCATGTGCCATGCCTGGAATAGGGCTCTGGTAGAGCCTTCACCCCTCAATCCCCCTCCTGAGGACCCTAAAGCTCCAAGGGGCTTCCTGGCAACCTGGTCATCCCTCTCAGGCTCCCCCTTTCCTGCCCTGAGCCCAGCACTCCCTCCCACCCACTCCCAGGCTATTTGGCCCAGAGGGTCACTGGAGGGAGCTTTCGGGCATAGGGTGAGGGCAGGGGTGGGGAATGCCTCCGGCTAGAGCTGAGCCTGGGGAGGGGGGATGGGGTGGCTAGTTTTCAGACCTCAAGGAGTCACCACGAAATTCCATTCTCCTGACAGCAAAGAAATTGAATCACTCTCGCCAAAGCCCACGGCCCCCACAAGAATGCTGTTCCCAGACGGGCAGTCGCACCCGGGTCTCCCCACTCCGACCAAGCCTGGCCTCGGAGAGGCACAGGAAGCCCCCTCCTAGGCGCTACGCCTTGCCCCTGCCAGGCTGGGCCAATCCCCTCTGTCGTGCAGCTCCTGCCCCCTCACTCCCTGGGTGCAATGCGGCAGCCCTTCTCAGAGCCTTGTGCGTAACGGGTGCATTGCTCCCGCTGCCTGGTGTGCCAAAGGGCTGGGAGCGTGAGTCAGAGAAATCAGGGGTGCCAGGCAGGGAATCCCACCCCCTGGGCTGGGGGCCATAGCGGGGCTGGCTCCCAGGACCTTGTCAGGTGGGGGTATGAGACGGCATGGCTGTGTGCTGCTCCCCCTCCTGCCTCTTGAAGAATGCTCAGACACAGTGGGTACCCCTAACTATGGATGCCACTGACCTCAAGCCTAGGAACAGGGCACAGCTCATGCAGAGATTTAGGGACTCAACAGTGCTTGGGTTGGAGGGGGATGAGGAGGGATTTCAGGGGGCTGGGACTGTCACAAGGTGTGTGGACACCAGGTCAAGACTGAAACGCAGAGGCAATAGGGAACCATGGAGGATTGCGATGTGCGTGTGAGTAGGGGGATATGTGTGTGTAGAGCTGAGTGGTTTCAAGTGGAGAATAAATAGACCAGGTAGATTGGGGACAAGGAGATAGAGACGTTGGGGGGCCAGGAGAGAGATGAAGGAGGTGGAGGAGGCTCTGTCTCAAAATAGCCCAGATATGAAATAGATCAGAGTCGCTGGTGGGGCGAGAACATGGCAGCACACACAGGCCCTTCAGACCAGAGGCTGGGGCTGGCCTGGGGCTCAGCAGACAGTTTAGGGGGAGCCCGCCCAGCCATCAGCTATTGAGTCCTTTTCTCTCCTGCCCTTCCCCACCCCTCCTTGCTGCCTAGAGGCTCCAAGGCTGGGCTCTGGCGGATGGAGGAGGGGTTTATGGCAGGAGGTGACACCAAGGGAGACTTGTCACTTGGGCACAGCCAGCACCATCTGCTCAGGCATCTGCCTGACTGAGGTGGTGCCTGTTAATTACCTGGGGTGGGTGGCAGAAAGAGCCTGGGAACCTCCATCCCCCATCCCATCCATGACAGAGAGGATGGGGCCCTAAGAGCAAATGGGCCACAGCACCCTGGGCAGGAGTCTGGGAGTGGGGCCAGGCATTTTCTCCATAAATCTTTATAGAGCGCCTACTATGTTCCAGGCCCTGTTCTCTTGCAGTTGACATTCAGGTGGAGGGAGAGGGACCATGAAAGGGTATGTAAACAACTAAAAATGCCATTGCAGGCAGAGGGTAAGCAAGAGCTGGGAAGATAACTGGCCCGTGGTTTGAATGACTGCTAAGGGGGAAACGGCGTAGCCTTGGTGGTCATGGAGCCGAAGCGGGAGGTGCAGCCAAGCGGAGAGCCGCCCCTAGATGGGCTTCCGGGAGACGCTGCGGGTAGAGGGCTCGGACCCCGATCCAGCGCTGGGGGGCCCCTCACCCCTCACCATCAACTGGGGCCGCAGGCGCGCATTCCTGCCGCCCCTGCTCGTGCGGTGGGCCGGGCCGGCCCGTGGGAAGGGCCGGGGGTGGGGGCCGCCGTGTGCCGCGGAGGCGGGGCGGGCACAGCTGGGCCACATCTGGCCCGAGCGCGGAGGGACCAAATGGAGCAGAAGGCCGCCTTTCATCCCGCGCGGGGAGGGGCGACCTTAGCTTCGTCTCGCCAAGGGGCGCCTGGGTAACCAATCCTCCAATGTTGGTCCGGGACGCGAGGAAATTAGGTCGAGAGCGGGGGTGAGGAGGTGGAATTCGGTACAGGTGCCTTCTCGTTGGAACCTCGCGCATGCACCTGTGGCTCAGGTGGCTCAGCGCCTCCTCGATATTAACAGCAGCTGCCCAGGACCCAGCGCTCAGGTCCACCCAGGCGACTTGGCCTGCACCAGCCCACGGGGAGGAAGCCAGGCTTTGCGAGGGGAAGTGCACAGCGAGGAAGTAAGGACGTCCCCTGAGGGACGATCGAGCCCTAGGCCCCTGTCCCAGAATCCCGGTCACCGCGCCGAGGGCGCGCCCCTCCGCGTGCCAGACGCCCGGGCGCAGTCCCCGCCGGCGTTGGCCAGCATGGGTTTCCCCTTCAGGGCCACCGGGGCCGGCCGGGACCAAAGCCCCGTGCCCCTCGGCTGCCCGCTGGGGGCGACCCGGGAGCGGCAGGGCATGCACGTGAGCACGGAGGGAGGGGTCCGCGGCGCCCTCTTCGCGGTTCCCAGGCCCCCGCAGCGGCCCCACGTGGGCGCTGCGGGGTCTGGGGGCAACCCGTGCGAGGCCCCGCCCCGGGAGCCAGTGAGCGCGTGGCGAGGGCGGGGCCGCGCGGAGGCCCCGCCCTCGGGGAGGAGCCCGAGCGGCGAGGTTTAAGGCCGCGGGGCGCTGGCGGCGCACGGCTGGACGCGCTGCCGGACCGAGGATCCTCCGCGCGGGTGTGCGGGGCAGCGCGCCCCGGGCAGCGCGCACCCCACGATGCTCAAGCGCTGCGGCCGACGCCTGCTGCTGGCGCTGGCGGGCGCGCTGCTCGCCTGCCTGCTGGTGCTCACTGCCGACCC